AAGTGTGGGAAGAAGGAGTTAAGGGCAAAAGTGGGAAGGAGTCATTTGAGTTGTCTTCCCTTCCATAATGGATCCTAACATGGTATTAATCTTCAACTACTCTATCTATATTTTTAAAAACAGTACTTTACAGCTTCAATTTTTATTTTTCCACTTTTCTAATTTGATTTTACGTTTTTTTTAGTCTATTTTACACTTTGATTCAATCTTTTTTTTATTTCAAAGTATGCATTCAATAGATTTTATCTTACATTTTTTTAAATTTCTAAATCTAGATGTTATTTAAAATTTTTGAACGGTATAATTTTGATTTACTATCTTGTTTCCTATAATTTAGGTGTACTAAAGATTTTGATGATGGGTATTTTCGTCACAATTTTATAGGGTAGTGTCAAGATAAATTTACCTATTTTGACTGGAGGGTAAATTTATCCACATAAAATCTCGTAGTTCAATTCTAACTGCCTTTTAGCCATTTTCGTGATATCTGATTATTTTGACCATTTTCCAAATCAAACTATTAAATATAGTCATTTCTGTAGTTGCCCATTTATTTTTGTCAAAAAAAACAGCTTTAATTTCTTGAAAGCCCATGGGCTTGTTGACTTCTTATTGGGTTGAGAATAATAGTTTCTAATAAATAGTTATTAAATATTTGAATTTTTTTTCTAAAATATATTATTTTGAACACAATTCATCCCTATTTGAAAGGAAGTAATAGTTATTATTGTTTTTTCATTTGGTACAAATAATCCTTTTTTTGGTACGACATGTGGGGTGGAGGATCGAACTCAAAATCTCATAGTTGGAGGTATATGTCAATTATTATTAAACTATGCTCGCTTTGACTTGTACAAATAATCCTTTTGGTATCTAGATATGTTGTTTATTTTTATTTTAATATTGAAATTTTAAGATATACTATTTTAGTCCTAGAACTATTTTATTCCAACTAAAAAATCTATTTTAGTCTATGTCATTGATTACTGTGTTATGTTATTAAACATAAAATTTATAAAGCATCTTTTGTAATTACTTGATTAATCGTTATTGATATATTTGAAAATCTAAAAGAGTAAATGATAAAAATTCGAAAATCAAATTTCAAATTTTTTGCCATTTTTAGTTACCCATTACAAATTCACTTAAAAAAATCCAAAAACAAAATGGTTGTTAAACGGGACCTTAGTAATTTAGATTAACGTGGTATAAAGACTTATTAAGTGGCCGTTTATTTTGAAGGGACTTAGATATCAATATTATTGGATGCGTTAAAAAATATGAATGTCAAACATCTGTAAAAGGGTCATATTTGTTTTGTAAAAAATAAATTATAAAAATATAAAAATATTTTAGATATTTGGTTTACAATATTTGTGCAATAAAATGTTTATTTGTGTATTGTTTGTACAATGATCATGCCAACCTTCGTGTAATATATGCATTAACATAATATAAATTGAGTTAAACTAACAAATTTATTTTTGTTACTTCAATATTTTTTAATACTAGTTTAAGGTTTTTAAATTATATGTTACTTCAATATTTTTAACACGAATGTGTTTACATGTTACATTCTATTTCTAAAAAGAAAAAATTAATCCCAAATGATGGTTTTATATACTTATTCAATAAAAATTATGGTTAAAGTGAACATTTGATTTTACCAAGTATGAGAGACAAGATTTTTTTTAGTACCAGAACCCAATAGAGTAGAGGTTCAAAGACACGACTGTTTGGTCACAGATATACATCTTAACAAGTTGAGAATATCGAACACTCATTTTTTGGGTTAATAATATATATATTAATCTAACAGTTGAGCATAGCTCAAGTGCTCAACTTGACTAGTTATCTTCATTTTATCTATAGAAAATACTTAATAGGTAGTTTTTAGAAAAAACAAGCGATCGAGAAAATACTTAATAGGTAGTTTTTAGAAAAAACAAGCGATCAATTTTTTAGCAGTGATCACCTAGGTGGATATTTTGAATTTCCCCATAACAAACAATTATAAAAAAATTTGATGCATTTTTATTTGGGATGATTCGACCCTCAAGAATATATATTTTATATAAATATGTTAAGGTTGGCAGCATTTGTATTTTATCTGATTCTCAAATTCTCTTCTTTCTAAAACACATATATTTTTCACAGTTCTATAACATAATTGTCAAGATACAAATTTTATTTTTGAGTAAATACGTGAGTGTACTTCCCAATCCCATCACATGCAATTTGCAAACCATAGAAATTTCTCCCCATAAATGCAAATCCAAAATAGGGGCTCTCTCATCCGTTCAGTGTTCCAAATTGCCGTTTACACCAACGAATCACAGCAAATTGAAGAAATAAACAAAAATGTCACATCGATGCAGTTCATGGGTGAACCAGCGACGCGATCGTAGAGAAAAAGAGAAAAAAAAGAAAGAAAGAAAACCCAACAAAAAAAGGGATGTGGAGGCGATCATTGCCCTCGCTTTTTAAAATTCAATCCATTTCCGCATTTCAAGGCACTCCTTCTTCCGCCATCGCAAATTCGAAGCGATCTTGCTCAGAATGGCTCGACCCACCTGGGTTTTTCTCCAGGCCTTCGCCATTTTCGGCTTTCTCCATCTGGGAATCAGCGTTTCAACTTATTCGGATAACCCACTTCTCCAGCAGGAATTGGATAGGGTCATTGAGCTTCCGGGCCAGAAATTCGATGTGAACTTCGCGCACTATTCTGGTTATATCACTGTCAATGAGGATTCTGGGAGAGCGCTGTTCTACTGGTTTTTTGAGGCTACGGAGGACTCTGCCTCTAAACCTCTTGTTCTATGGCTTAATGGAGGTCCTCTACTTGAACTATCTCCTCTTGGATTCTGTTTTTAATTTATTTGGGCTGTTTAGTTGTTGAATCCATAGGATGATTGAATAGCATAATTGGAAATGGTTTCATGCATTTATAGTAGTGAATTTTTAAGATAATTGGTATTGGTTGTATGGTATACTGAGTGAATGAGTTTTTAAATGTTGAGTTGTTTCTGCAGGACCTGGATGCTCATCAATTGCTTACGGTGAGGCAGAAGAAATTGGCCCATTTCACATTAATGCTGATGGGAAATTCCTTTACTTGAACCCTTATTCTTGGAATGAAGGTAAGATTTATATACAATAAAAAAATAAAAAAAAGTTGAATAACATCTCCCTTTCTTCTTCCGACGTTTCCCCCCTGTTTCAGAAATTGACTGATTATTTCACAAATGAGTAGGTAGAGTGTACCGATACTGAATTTAAAATATTAATTTATGAACAAAAAAATTGTTTTAAGTCTAGTTTTTATCGTCAGATGATGGAGAAACTGTGAGTTCTTAATCTATAGGGTGTCATAGCAGTTGTCCATCCTTGCAACATCTAGATGGTCAATAAATATTAGATTTATTTTATCAAATATTCTATCACGAGTAGTTGAATGCTCTATTGGGGTGTTACTTCAGTATATTCTTAGGCTTACAATAGTAAACGTTTATGTTAGAAAGTGCAAAAAGGAAAATGTACCCTCTGATAGTTATTTTGCTTAGTACGTAGTTTTTATGTATAGTCAGGAGTATCATGAACGAGGCTAGAAAGTATTTTGTGGGGAACTTATATTATGACTTCTCTTACCTATCTACATGATCTCTACAGTTGCCAACGTTATATTTATTGATTCCCCTGTTGGAGTTGGTTTTTCATATTCAAACACATCTTCGGACTTGCTGAATAATGGAGATAAAAGGACTGGTAATACTTAGACAACATGTTCTACCCGATTGGACCTATTATGTCATTGCGAAGCCATCTAATTTGATTATGTTTCAACTTCAACTTCCTCTTTGTTAGCTGAGGATTCTCTAGCTTTCCTATTGAAGTGGTTCGAACGCTTTCCCCAGTTCAAAGGAAGGGAATTTTACATTACAGGCGAGAGCTATGCGGGTAAGGAGGAAATCATCTATTTTAAGTATTCATGTCAAAATGTCTGGTTTCTCAAAGGATGTTATCCATTCCTTACATCTACTATTTCTATTCATTTTTCATAGCTGCTTATATTGTGCTCTCCCAAATTAGTTTTTGTATATCTCTTTAATTTTAAATAGGGCTTAACTTCATTATCGTAGTAGTTAGTTAATGAAATGAAATTAACATGTAGGACATTACGTACCTCAGCTAAGCCAAGCTATTGTAAGGAACAACCTTCTATTCAAAGAAAAATCCATCAATCTGAAGGGTTATATGGTATTTGCATCTTCTCCTCACAAAATTAAAATTTTATAGTAACATTATGTTATACATAAGGTTGTCATATTCACTTTTATACATTGCTCATATAGGTGGGGAATGCTCTTTTTGATGATCATCATGATCATGTTGGAGTTTTCGAGTTTTTGTGGTCAACTGGTTTGATTTCTGATCAGACATACAAGCAGCTTAATCTACAATGTAGAAATCAATCTTTTATACATTCCTCTGAATCTTGTGACGAGATACTAGATGTTGTTAACAAAGAACTTGGGAATATTGACCCTTATAGCATCTTCACTCCTCCATGCTCTGATGGTTCTTCAAATCGGCTTTGGAAGCGAATGCATGTGAGTTTAGAAATATTGATCAATATTCTAATTACTCGATTTTAATTGGTTGCAATACAATAATAACTCGAATGAAGGATTGGAGGTAACAAATAATTATCTTGAAAATAGATGTTATAACATTCAGATTTTCCTGTCCTGCTGCACATGATTGCTCATCACGCACAGTTGCCATCGAGAAGGCTTCTCATGTGCTAAAAATTTAAATCATGCCCCAGTGGAGATACTTGTTAATCTTCTGCTTCAATAGATTTTACAATTATAATCATAGCTCAAGATTCTGCTAAGTAAACTAAGGATCACTTTGTTGGAATTTCCTTAAACAAGCTCAAGGTTATAGTATAAGCTCTTTTTTGAGAATCCATATAAATGAATTAAATTTACCCAATCTATCAGCTTAAAGCTTTTGAGTTGAGTGGTGGTTTATTCATCTTTAACATGGTACCAGAGCGAGAATTCTTGTGTTCGAACCCCCGCATTCTTGTTTCCTCCCAATTTCCACTTGTTGGGCCTTGTCAATTATCCAAGCCCACAAGTGAGAGGGAGTGTTGAGAATCCATATAAATGAATTAAATTTACCCAATCCATCAGCTTAAGCTTTTGGGTTGAGGGTTGATTTATTCATTAACACTCTTATAAGTACTTGTGAAGTTATGAAATCTTCAAGTACCCCTTCAAATTGAACATTGAAAAATTCATTTGCACTGGACAGTGCTTCTGTTAATATTATTGATTCAAAATTTTACATCCATTATGTTACCGTTACTGTTTTTCTTAGATGGTTGGGCATGTTGCTGAGCGTTATGATCCTTGCACTGAGAAGCACTCGGTCGCATACTTCAATCTACCTGAAGTTCAGAAGGCGCTTCATGTTGATCCTAAGCATGCACCAGCAATGTGGGAAACCTGCAGGTATGACATTAAAAACTAGTATAAAACTTGTGGTGGCTTTTATTGCATATTTTTCCAGATAAACCAGTTATTGTAAGAAACTCTATTTAGGTGTAAATTTCACCAAGTAAATTTAACTAGGAGCTTGACAGAGGCTTTGCCCACTCCAAAATCAGCTTTGGGAAGCAACAGAGGTTTTAAAAATTATGACATTTTTCACTACGGGATCTTGGAGGATATCTTCAAAATTTTAAACAATTTTCTATTAGACGTACTTATTCCCTTGATAACATTATTTTAGATTTTCAAGCAAGGATGTTCTTCTAGTGTTTGATGAAACTCTTAATGCTGACAGCGAGCTGATTAACACTAATTGGAAGGATTCTGCTGGCTCTGTGCTGGACATATATCGGGAACTGATACATTCAGGACTTCGTATTTGGGTGTTCAGGTTTGTCTTAGAATTCGAAGTCTTATATTATATCATAAAAAAGAAGCAATTAGTCTATGCTTTTACATTGGTAAACAACTTCTAATTTTTTTTAACAAGAAACAAATTTTTTAATAATATATAAAAAGGAAAAAAAAGTTCAAGGATACAAATTTTGAGAGGGAGCATAAAAAGTACTTTTGGTGAAAGACTCCTTTTATAAGAACTCTTGGAGTGCTTCTAAAAACACTTTGCAGTGCTTTTCTAGTATTTTAGAATTTTTAAAAGGAAGAAGCATCATGGAGACCACAATTTATAAAGAATAATTTTCTTATGCTTAGTTCATTTGCAGCCCCCTGTAACGTTTTTCCTTACTTCTTCCTCTGCATATCATTTCTTGTTTACTAATTACTATCATTCTTCCTGTTTTTCATTTGTTGGTTTTTTACTGGTTGAGATAATAGCAAACGAGTGTTTCCATTTAATATTTATACAAAAAGTAAAACTAATCTCCTCAAAGAAAAAAAAAAGGTTAAACTAAAGACTGACTTTATGTTAAAAACTTAATATAAATAAACACAATAACTTTGACTTTATAACTGAAAGTTTTGGATTAGTAATAATTCTTCTTCTTGTCAAAATTAACGATAATGTATCATTTAATTAGTGATAATTTTTCGGATGGAAAACAAATATTTCATTAGTGATATGAAATACTACAAAAGGTGAGCCAAACTCCAAATTGAGGAGTGTTTAAGAAAAACTTTCCAATTGGCCAAAAGAACATTGAGATTATAATCAATAAAACGAGTATTACATTTACACCAGGAGAGTGCCAGCAAAAAACTGAGTTTATTAATTATTCATAAATATTTTGAAGTGCTGGTGAAGGTTTGGTTGTAGGGAGTTGTTCAGAGTTCAGATGTTAATGTTGTTCGACTTCGTCATTTTTAGTTGTCTACTTTTCTATATTATGAAGCTACTCCACGCCTCTATTAATGTGAACTTCATGGCATTTAGGAGAAACTTTGGGCGGAGGTTGGAATAATGTGGCTGTCGGTTTTCCATCACTGGATGTATGAGAGAGACTAAAAATTAATAGTTTAACCATACATTTTATAGTAGGAGGGGGCAGACACATTCTGATAGTCACATTTAATAACTCTCCAGCATTTAGGGGGCTGTCACGTTAAATTTGAGCTTTACAAAGAATCGAAGCGCGTTATCCTCTCTAGTTTTCTTTGTCGACCTCATCTTCCTTGTGTTCTTCTCTCTTGATTTCTCCTTTGTCCTGCAACCATTATTAATTTGTTATCTAACACCTAAGCTGACTCTTAACCCGTTTAACTGATGGCCTATCCATTTTTGACTTGCCCTTTTTCTATTTGTTATTGATACTAATTCGGTTTAAACTGGTTTGTACAAAAAGTACATTTCATTGGGCTTGCACATACGCTAACCCACAGTTTCAGTTTTGGTAAAATGAACCAAATCAATTCCGCATACCCATGATTATTTTGATAATGCTAGGGCTTATTTTGTTAGATTGGAGTCTCCTTGTCTAGGTTGGCTCCTTTTGCTTGGACCATCTTTTGCATGTCCCTTGTGTATTCTTTAATCTTTCTTGCCTTTTTTTTTTCTTTTTTTCTCCAGTTCCTGAATCATCCATCAATGTTTCATTTTACTGAATTAAATTATTGGTTTCCAATGACAGTGGTGATACAGATTCTATACTCCCAATCACATCTACCCGTTATAGTATTGACGCCCTTGAGCTTCCACAAACAGGACCTTGGCATGCTTGGTATGATGATGGCCAGGTAAATCATTATCAAATATCGCTGATTTTTCGTTTTTGTTATTTGTTTTCAAAAAATGACTTTCAGTAGTGAACAGTGATACCTTGAATTTTTTTTATTAAGACAATTTTTAGGATTTATGTTCTTATTTTCATCGACCTTTGATTTTTATAGGTCGAGGATATATGATACCTTAGAAGGCATTTATGAGGGAAATAAAGCAAACACATCATAATATGATTTACAACAACTTTTATTACAATAACGAAAGAAAGCACTAAAAAACATCTGAATATCATGTATGAGTGCGATTTTTCTTTTCTTTAGTAAAGTTTTTCTATCTTTGGGAGGAGAGCAGAAGTTTCTCGTTTAGGAGATTATTTCCAAAATAGTTTTGTCATTTCTGCTTGTTTTCAAAATCTCAGGAATATGATGTTTTCTTAAGGAGGACGACTTCAATTATTCTAAAAGATAATAAGTCGTTCGAAAAACGTCTCAAAGGCTCATTGGAGCCCTTGTATCTATGTGAATCCTTAGCTGTGCATAATCATAGTTTTAAAGAGATTGAAAAAGGACCATACTTGATTTAGAGTTACATACGTTTTAGAGCTCCTTAGAAGCCCTCGCATTGGGCATGAACTTGTCACATAGAGATCTTGGGAGGAGACCTAATTTTGGCTAGGTTTAATGCTTTTATTTGGACTTCGGTTTCTTCGGACTATTGTAATTACCGGGTCTCATTATTCTGGATTGGAGCCACTTTTTGTGTAGTTAGTTTTGGGCTGTTTTTGGCCGAGTATTTTTTTGTACCACTTGGCTTGTTCTTTGATTTTTTATTTTCTTTCATTCCTTTCTCAATGAAAGCTTAGTTTCTTATTAAAAAACTCCTCTATACCCCACTGATCTCGAGACAATGAGTTCTGTTGGCGGGAAAAAGGATTGTGCAAATTAAACGAGATTAGTTATTGTTGTGTACAGGTTGGAGGATGGATTCAAGAATATGAAGGGCTGACCCTTGTGTCTGTGAGAGGAGCTGGCCATGAAGTACCTCTGCACAAACCCAAACTGGCTCTCCAACTTATCAAAGCCTTTCTAGCAGGAAACTCACTCCCATCCCTTCAACTCCACAGTGACACTTAAAAAAAACAACACTTCAAAGTTTTCCTTTTATGCTCTTTTTTTTTGGTTGTTTTTGAAGTCAAAAGTTGCACAAAAATGTTTTGTTGTTGGAATGGAATGGAATTCTTAGCAAGGCCATTGCTTTTTTCAACCTCAACATTGATTCAGGTTATAATTAATAAAGATGTCATTGGTTTGGAAAATGTGACTATATTGGGATGGTTTCTTCTAGTTTGCTTTCTTTGGAACTTAGAAATTTTTGGGCTAAGCTCGATTGTTTGATCGATGAAATGAAATTTTAGGACTAGTTTGATACGATTTTGTTGAGATTTTTTTTAGTACAACATGTGGGGTTGGAGATCAAATTCACAATCTCTTGGTGGGAGATGTATGTTAATTACTGTTGAGATATACTTGCTTTTGCGAGGTTATAATTTTTTTGTTTCATAGAATTTGATCGGATTGAATTAAATTGTTCTTCAGATTAAGATGGTGGGAGGGGTTGAAAAAATAAAAAGTAAAAAGATAATTTCATTGTGTGAAAATAAGAGCATGCTTATTTAAGCAAATTTCAAATATTGCCCTTAACAAATAATATAAGAAAGAACTAAGAGATTCAACTGTGATATTGTAAAAGTGGTTGAATTGATATTTGATTATGGTCTAAATACTATTGTGGTCTTTGTTTTTAGTTTGGTTAATTTTGACTTCTATATTTTTAAAGCTTTTCCTTTTGTTCGTTGTATTTTTTAGTTTGGTTAATTTTGATTTTTATATTTTTAAAACTTTTATTTTGATATATGTACTTCCATTTTTTTTTAACTTTCAATACATACATATTGGTTCCAATAAAGTAATCAATTTAGTCTCTATTTGTAAAATTCTAATACAAATTTTATTTAGCTTTTTTAGTGCAACTAAGTTCTGATCTTACGGTTCAAAACGTGTTACGGTTAAGATCAACTCTATATCAAATTTGAACAAATCCTATCATGTTAAAATTAAATAGGGAAAAGAATTAGTTATTCTCGATTAAATGGGAGAGTTTCGTAGGATTCTTTTTTATAATCAAGAATTGGAGCTTTCCTCTCCCATATTAGGGACACCTATGCCTAGCCCACTAGAGAGCTTACCGCGATTGATATCATATATGCTAGTAATCAATAGAATAAATTCGATTAATTTACAGTCATATCAATAAACATGAACCATGGTAAACTAAAGTAGGAATAATTTAGGCAAACATAATTTTTTGTTTCTCGTTTTTAATTTTTTAGAAACATTGATGCTTGATAACAGTTCTTCATTTCTAAGAAGTGTTTCTCAAAACATATATAAAAACATTATTTTATCATTTTTATAGTATAAAAATGCAGCTTAGCTCGACGGTAATTGACACCTATTTCTGACCAAGAAATCGTGAGTTTGAATCTTTCACTCCAATTGTTGTACTAAAAAAATTATAAAAATACATAATAAATATAAAAAATTAAATATAACACAAAGATGTTGAATATTTAATTTGAAAATTAATTTTCATATAAAATTTTTATTTTTTTAATTTAAAATTTTAAATAACAAGAAACAATAATAATTATCAAATATATTTCTATTTTTTTATGATCGAAAAAAAGAAAATGGTACCAAACACAATTACATTTTCTATACTGCTTTTTTCTTGATTCTTGATTGAAAAGAGGAAAGCTGAAATAAGACCAAAATTGAGTCCAATGAGGAGTATATAATCTTGTAGGGGTTAAAAAGATCTCTTGCTTTAATTATTGCAAAGAATAAAATATAGAGTTCACTAAGGAACCTTATACACAAACACAAAATGAAGGCTTCTAATAAATTACTTTTCCTTTCTATTTGATACAAAGAAAAGTTTATACATGAGATGTGGGGGAGAGAATACTCATTTGCACAGGCTCAGCATGAAAATGAACCCTCAGTCTGCAGCCAAATGAAAAATGTTGCAAATTACAAGGCGCCAGCTTGAGTCTCGGTCTCGGTCTCTGTCTCAACCGTTATCAGCTCGTAGATAGCATGAATATTCATTGAAATTAGCTAGAAGGGCGACCCGAGCAAACCTTCATTTCCTTGACAAAATGATATTTAGAGTGCGCTGATAGGATGGCAGAGTGGGAAGAGGCAAGCAACGAACTGAAACGCTTTCGCGATTCCTACTGAAATCACCCGCTTGCTTTCACGATTCCTGCCACAATCGACACGTCTCCAGGCTCGCTCTGTTCCTTGTATCAACTTTACATCTACATTTCAAAATTGTTTCCTGTACAAGTTTTTGCCAAACTTTGTTTCTGCAGAATTGTCATGGCTGCTGTGGAGCCGAGAAGAATCAGTTGAAGAAGTATGGCGAGTTGAGAACCTCTCGCAAGTCAAAATCGCCTCTATCAGGGAGGGAAGGGAACGTCAATCCTGGATATGTCGTTTCGAAGCCTTCGAGCAACTGGAGAAAACAAAATGGTTTTTAAGGTTAATAATGTATGGCAGTATGGGAAGCCTTTCAAATCAATTCATGTCACATACATATCAGCAGGTAACAAAACTGAATTCAGAAGTGCTCACTTGTAGCAAAAGATTCTATCATTTGATCATATCCAAATCCAATAAGTCCAAAAATTTCAAACTCACTAGTTAAAAACAAGTATGATCATATCAATTTAAGACAAATTCAGACAAATGTAAGGATATTTTTGGTTAGTGATCTAAAAACAGAAATTTAAAGAAGTGATTTAGAACACAAAGTTGTATTCTATAGTTTCACTGTTTTTGAACAAGTAAATGTTGTTTTCAAAACTTCCACTTTCTAGGTCACATAATCTCCAAACACTTTTTTCAGAATTAAACCCACCACACCGAAATCCATATTCAACATAATGTTTTCAGGACAGGGGTCAAAATATAAATTTTGGAAGTATTGTGACTGAACTGAAATACACCAACAAACATGTAGGGATAATACTGGTACTCTCAAAATAAGTTTGGCCTCCTAAATAGACTGAATTTCATAATTGCTGGTAGTTCTACTTAGCATTTAGAAACTTAATTACAGGATACTTACACTTTCAAGAACTGGCATATTATAGAGCTCCACAAATGTTTCTCTTAGTATCACATTCATTTGGTCCACATCACAGGCATGTGTCCAGAAGGAGTCATGCACCCCTGAAACACAAGTACTTGGCTTGGTGAGAGAGTGCATCAACAGAGTTTATTCCTGATAGATATTATTCTCCCAAACCATTTAGAAGAAAAAATTAATAAAATCATCATGTGTTATGCCAAAACATTTTACTTTAAAATAATAATTTATTTCGTAACCATGCAACCACATAGTTGTGTGTGGCCAGCTTACACCTAATCCTACTACATTTAGTTGTGTGAAGGATGAATAAACTATCACTCAACCCAAAAGCTTAAGCTGATGGGTCACTTGTGGGTTTGGAAAATAACGTCAAGACCCAACAAGTGGAAATTAATAATAAATGGGGAAGAAACAACAATGCAGGGGTTCGAACACAGGACCTCCTGCTCTGATACCATGTGAAGAATGAATAAACCACCACTCAACCCAAAAACTTAAGCTAAGTGTTGGGTAAATTTAATTCATTTATGGATATCTAATAAGTTATAAAGAAACTTGTAGAATAGTTCTACTACTCATTTTCTTTATTGGATATTCGATTTATTCGACATCAAATAATTTATTGATAGATAAACTGTTCGAAGAATAATTCAATCAGGTCCACAGTACTTAAACAATCTATCAATTTTTTAGTTGAAAAGCATACCACAGAAAATTGGGGTTTTTAGAATTGGAGTTTTAGAACTTATATATCTGGAAATGAAATATAAGTACACTTAAAATCGCAATAAAACTTATGTATTGTGCTGGTTATTGTCTCGATGAGTTTGCTTCCACCCCCTCAAGTATGAGCTTAATAGTATGAGGAATGAGCGTTGTAATATTTCAGGGAATTCACGCCTTAGTGTAGTCTCTCCATAATATGTTGCTTCGTAATTCGTACAGTTTTGAGATAGAACCCTCGGATGTTCCATAAATTTGATGCATTAACTGGAATTCATTGCCATGAACAGGAAAAGATTCTTAATCCAAGAATACTGAACGTCCAGTAAGATCTATCCTAAACGTTCATGTTAAAGCCTCAATCCACCAAGTTTATGCTAGTCATTTCTTCCAAGTTATTTCCATTAAACAATTGACAATTTTCTTTCCCCATTCCAAAGATTTATTCAATGGTCAAAGCTTTGTTTCGATATAGACCAGAAAAACTAACCTGCAAAACGTAAGCCAGCATCCCTACAGGCAAGAGCAGTGAGCATCATGTGTGAGCCATCCAGTGAGTGCACGAAATTGGGAGGAAACGCAGTTCTATGCTTTCTAACATCCACCTGGAATTAATGGGATATTCAAATAAGTTCTATGAAAATCTGAAGAATATCAAGACCCGTGCCCAGTGACATGAGCTTACCGAATTACCCTCTCTTCGTAAAGCCAAAACTTGAAGAGATGTTCTAATCTGCAGCACAAAAATAAGAATAATTACTGTCTTCCTTTAAAGAGTTGTATGAACTATTAACAAGGATGCATGCAGTAAGATTGTAAATAATTGTCTACCACAGTTATTTTATTTTTATTTTTTCTTGATAAAATGTCTACCACAGTTATTAGTGTCAGTATATAAGTAATAAGTATACTCATGTACGGTCCAACTAATAATTGAATTCTGTCCCATTCAACCCATATATACTGAGACTACTGGGGAACACACCATGCCCATTTTGAAACAAGGGAAACTTATGCCAGGAGTCCCTTAAGAGTGTGAGTCACTTGTTCTTCACTCTTCAGCTCTAAAGGTACCTATAGATGTTGGAATAAGATTTCTCATGAGTTTGATTGGAGTTGGTGCATGGCCACTCAATCAAATTGATAGAGAAGAGAAGACCCGCCCCCGTACGCACGTAAAAAGAAAGGGAGGAAAGCTATAGAAATTAGTTAGCGTGGGAGTGTGTTGCATGGTGGGCCCTAATTTTGTTATAGGACAGTGTACAGCCTTAGGTCGTGCGAGGAGAGGTTTATCAGGAGGGTTTTTGGAGTGCTTTATCCATCTTTTGCATTGTGTTTTTTGGCTTAGACTTGTTCTAAAGAGGAGAGTGCCGGGCAACTTTTATGCTCCGTTTGGGTTTGATATTGTGAGTGAAACATTGAGATTGGTCATCTGAGACCCAGCACAAATGTCTAGCATATGCATATCCTACGTGGTACAACTTTTAAAAGAAAGCAAAGGTGAAGAGGTCATGTGCAGTGAAGGCACAACTTTGAAAGACTTGGTTTCTCATCTTTATGAAGGAATTAATAAGAGTTGGAAGGGTATTCGGGGTGATGTTAAGTTTTTGGGGTCTCTGTGTACTCCCTCTCTCATTCTGAATAGTTACAATATTTTTTTTTAAATATTGTTACCAACTGAAGTGGGCTTTCATAAGCTCCTTTGGGTGAAGGTGCTCCCACCTCTTATCTACTTGTACTGTCAATAAAAAGTTTTTTTTATTTCCAGCAGCTACTCACAAGATGCCGTTCGCTTTTATAGTAAGGTTGTACCACAGGAAGACCAAGCGGAGTGGTCCAACGCACAGGCTGATTATCTGCAGCAATTACCTGGCAAGAGTGTCAATATTTAAAAATCAGAACTTATAGTGACAATTAGAACAAAAGTTCAAAGTATGCCATTTCAAATAGAAATCAAGTAACCTACTGCCCAGAACATGTCAGAATGGCATACCTTAGCACAATCACCAAGCCAACTCATTATCCCACGTGCAGCTTCAAATATCTCTCCAAGTGCAGCCAATGTCACCTATAGAAAAGGATACAATAATATCATACATGGTCACCATTTTTTGGAAGTAAACAAATCAACCTCATTGACTAAAGGAAGGGTAGAGAAGAAAAGACCAAGGAGAGAAGACATCTGCCAACCTCAACCTATCCACAGGGCTTTAAAGAAAACATCCCAAAGGTTAACTAAAAAGAGGAAAAGTCACAAAAACCCTCCACACAATACACTCCAAGTGGAGGCAGTATGCTACAATATATATTTATAAAAATAAATTTTAAAAAAAAAAACTCCATTGGACCTAAATGGATCTTGAAATATTCTGTTATCTCTCTAACCAAAGAAGAAAAAACCTTAGTGCTGCTTGCATTCCTTCAAGTAACTCTCACTTTACCACAAAAACACTAAGCAGAGCGGATCTTGGGGAGCAGAGCATAAGGATGATTCAAATAGTTAGGGATAAGTGAAACTTCCCAGAAAGTAGTCAGACCAACAAGGAGAGGCTAAATAATAATGGATGAGCAATGGTCAAGAGTCTTTATCCATGTTATATGTAAGGGAAATTTGTGGAGACAGGTATATGTATATATTCTTTATAGCCCAGGTCGAGTATCCAAACCATTGTAAGCTAGAGACCAGAAAAAAATTAAGATTGTCGATGTTTTGAGCAAAAAAATTTAAGATTGTTAACTTATATTCACTCTTCTTTAGCAAAGACGAGGTTCAAATAAAGTTTAATTTTTTATAGCGCATGAAATAAATTCTATTGCCAAAATAACAATTGTGATCTCTCAGTAGAAGAATATAATCTGAGTCCATAATTAGTCAATTACTCACTTTAGCAGCATAGCAGGCTGCTCTAAATAGTAGTCTATCATCAGAAATGAGGCCCTTCTCCTCTAGTCTTTTTTTAATTTGTTCACGAGCTCCAACATATGTGACACCATATACTGAAGTCATCACTGTTTGTTTCACCAGTTTGCGATCAACCTGAATACCTCAAAAGATAAACTATTTAAATAAGTACTTAAATAGTTTAACAAGAAATTAAAAAAAAAAATCAACATCTTGGTAAAATATCCGGGAAAACTGAACTGCGTCAAGTGGCTCAAGCAAGAAAGATGAACCTGATCAATTAGGATCTTAGCCAGTAAAGCATTTGGATTTGTTGCTGGATCCTTGTTACCATCCCTGATCATGATATTGTGAACCCTGTCGACCAATAATAGAAGTAAAACAAGTGATAAAAAGGGCAGACACATTTTCACCAATATTGGATCTTGTATGCATAGGTAGATAAATTTTTTTTTTTTTTGGATAGGACATAGGTAGGTAAATTTTTAATGTTACAATCAACCAGTCTTTCAGTGACGTGGACCAAAAGAGGTTCAAGAGAGGATAAACAACCTCCCCTCAACTAAGAAGGTTATTCAAAGGCACACCACTTGCTAAAATTAAAAGGGAGTTGAAACTACAAAAATGATCAGAGAGTGCAATGGCTCAACGCTATAAATCTACCAAAATCCCAGAAATCCTCTAGGCCCTCGCACTTGTCTTCAAAAATAAAAGTTAGAAAAAGGGTGATAAAAAAACCAACCAAACAAGTCGAGAATAAAAAAACCAACCCAACAAGTCAAGGAGATCACAAAGAATTCGTAAAATTCCTCCCATTGGTGTTAATAAAAAAAGACTAGTAGATATGGAACTTAAAATAAAAAGAAAACCCCAACGGAAATCATACAATGAACAATCTTTTAAATTTCTCCTTCCTTTTTAGAAGAATTGTGAAAATATCTTTGACTTCTTTCTAACTGAAATTTTTCAAGAACTTTTGCCACAGCACTATTGCTTTATGTTTGAATGAAGACCCGTGAGCAACAGGAATTCTTAGACAGGAAACAACAAAATTTACAGGGCACTGATACGACAGTTACTCTAACATAAAAGTGCAATACTACCAGTGATGACTAAGTTGTCCTTTGATTGAAGACTTGAACATACCTGGCAGCAATTTCTGTGTAAACATCAGCAGGTTTTTCTCCAGCAACTAAGTTCACAGCAGCTGCTTCAAACTGGAAACCATAAACACACAGGCTCTTTTAGAGTATAGAAACATTTCAACTTCAGCAAGTACACCACATGTGAAATCGATAATAAGAAACTCCTAGTATACAGCATCCATGCAGATCTTGATGAAAGAAGGAACATTTATTGCAAGTTGCAACCCAGGTCCTCAATTATCATAAAATATTAAAAAAAAAACGTTAACAAGAAAAAGAAGAGGAAAATCCTGAAAAAAGGACAAATGTGTTGATGAGAGAGAGAAGAATAAAATTAAAAGCCCAAAGGGAGATTGACATTATTGCATTATCTTATATTGTTTGATGACTTATGCAGGAGTAGAGGAATTTTTTCTGATAAGAAACAAACTTTTCATTGATAGATGAAAAGATAGAAAAGTGTTCGTGGATACAAACTCCCAAAGCTAGTCAAAAGAAAACAAGTGTTTAAGAGGGGTGTGGCGCTCATCTGGTGAGTTGGAAAGAGGTTACGAAGCCTTGGACATGGGAGGTTTGGGTATTGGGAACTTAAGGCTTAGGAACGAGGCTTTCTTGGCTAAATGGTTATGGCGTATCCTCCATGAATCTAACGCCTTGTGGCGAAGGATTATTGTGAGTAAGTATGGTCCGCATCCGTTCGATTGGGTTCCGGCAGTTGGGTCTAAGGTGAACAATTATAATCCTTGGAAGGCTATCGCTTTGGATTTCCCTGTCTTTTATCATTCTCTTCGTTCAGTGGTGGGGGAGAGTTGTAATACTTACTTCTAGGAGGATGCTTGGGTATGAGATAACCCTCTTTGTACCGCGTTCCCTCGGCTTTATCATCTTTCTGGAAAGAGACATTATTCGGTGGCCGAGGTTTTGAATCCCCGGGGAGAGGTTCCTTCTATTTCTTTGGGCTTTACTCATGCTTTAACGGACCGGGAAACCTTAGAGGTGTCACTGTCTGCTTTGCTTACTCTGGTGTCCAAAGTGTTTGTTATCCCTGGGAGGGAGGATGTGAGGGTTTTGACCCCCAGCCCGTCGAAAGGTTTTTCTTGTAGTTCTTATTACCATATCTTGAACTCCCCTTTCTCTTCTTTTCCCTTCGACCCCTTGGTTCTCCTCTCTTTTGAAGATTAAAGTTCCTAAGAAGATCAAGTTATTTGGCTGGCAAGTCCTTCTTGGGAAAGTCAATACCTTGGATCGTATCCAGAGGATGTCGGCCTTTTGTCTGGATCTGCAGTGGTGCGTTCTCTGCAAGAGTACCTCGTAAGACCTTGATCACTTGTTGTGGACTTGTCAGTTTGCTCAAGATCTCTGGCATCACTTCTTTATGTGTTTTGGGATATCCTGGGTCCGTGATATAGATTGTAGGGCTGATGACGAGGTGCTATTATACCCCCTTTTCGTGATAAGGGTCGTTTTTTGTGGTAGGCTTGCTTTCTAGCTATGTTATGGGGTATTTGGCTAGAAAGAAATCATAGATTGTTTAGGGGGTGGAAAAATTTGTGGACTATGTTTGGGATATCGTTAGATTTAATATGTCGTTATGGGGCTCGGTTTCTATACCCTTTTGTAATTATACACTAGGCCTTATTCTTTTGGATTGGAGTCCTTTTCTTTACGGGGCTCCCTCTTTCAGGGCTGTTTTTTTGTGTTTTTTTGTATGCCCTCCTGTTGGTCCTTTTTTGTAGTTCTTGTATCTTTTTCATTACTCTCAATGAAAGTGTTGTTTCGCATAAAAAAAATAATAATAATAAAATAAAGAATGGATTTTTATTGCAAGAGTTGAGGGATTACCCACAATAATTTTTATTTTTAGTAAGAAAGATCATAAAATAAGGAACATAGGAATGAATTTTCATGTGACACAAATATAGATTAGTTGGCCTTACAGTGTCTCTTCCCAAAGCTGCATAGTGCTGTAAGCCATTGCATGAACCATCCTGAAAAGTCATGACTTTTAAGCTGTCATTATGTCGCTAAAAACAAACAAACAAATAGATGCCGAGCAATGTTACAAAAGATGAGAGAAGTCAAGTTCAAATAAAGTCAGTAAATAATCAAGAAAAAAACTGTGAAAAGGAGAAGGTAACAACTTTGAGATGGTAAATCTAATGTAGACATGAAACAAAAAAGAGAATAAATATTAAGTTCATTTAAAGTTAAGTTACAATATGAGGAACACAAGAAGTAACCTCTATCCAAAAATAAACAAAATATAGACAATTTTCCTTGATGAAAATTTGCAAGCCAGGAGATCTGAGGTGGAAAAAAATTTCTCTGTTTACAGGAATATACTAACATTTGAGAAGAAGAAGGATGGAAACAGGAGGATTTTAACAAAGGATAAGAAGTCATCTAACAGATTATTTAAACACAAGCAACAAAACTAGTAACAGTGCATTATGCATAAACATGAAAATTGTACGAGAGTGAAAAATGGACTAATGCTGATACAAATGTATGCTTGTGTCCCATCTTATTACTTCCAAGGCTTTTGATTAAACCCTACCTGGTGGATTGGTAGATGGGAAATGACAGTGTGTGGTGATGAGCTCTTTAGGGCTTCTGATAGATTGATACAAGCAGCCAAACATTGGAAAGGATCTTCAGCAGTTAACCACCAACGATTACCATTAACTGGGTTACTTGCAGAATCAAATATGCTATCCAGATGATCATCCACAAATGCTAGACGTCTGTCATAGGAAAGTTTTTCAACACCGCCAGCATACAAATTTGCTAAATGTATCTTCAACCAATGTAAACCAGACTTTCCTAATGGTCGTCCTTCAGCAAACTCTAGAACTCCTCGACAGAGATCAGAACTCAAATGATTCAGATGTGGATGCATTGGGTATGCCCGGCCACGAAAATCAAGATTATGAGGGTAATAAAAGCCTTCCTCGTCCCTCATTTTGCGAGCAACCTAACTCAAGGCAAATTACTCAATACTCAATAATGTTTTTTATAATAATTATGTCCACAAAAATGGAGAGTAAGAGCATACAAATTCAGAACTAATATTTGTTTTTAAAAAATATGATGGAAGTGGATAAAAATCACTGATCAGATTTCGGGAGAATAGTTGGTATGGCCTTCAAAAAAATTAATCAATTGACGTAATTTGAGAACAATAGGGATCTGTTGTTAATTAAAGTCATAGAAAATTTCGAGGAAAGAAGAAAATAAGTGGTCTTTATATATATGGACATCTGGACTGACATTTATTGAGGGATAGAAGGGCATAACCAGTTTAGATGTTTAATCAGGATTCAGACATCATATCCAATCAACAGGCTAGGCAGCATACAACATTTCTCAACTTGACGAAAGTAATCCCCTCAATAATCCAATTTTAAGAAAGAAATCTTACAGAAAGCTTAAGTTCAACATCACATCGTTGGGAATGCAACTCTTGGTTGATTTTCTTTGCCTTCCTCACACTCCATTTCCATTCTTGCATTTCTGTCAAATCCCCAAGAGGCTGCTCTGGAATAGGAACCTTCTCGCCAAAGAAGGGTGAATCAATCAACCACATAATAAATATGTAACGAGAAAATCATGCAGAAGCCTTATCCTAACAATATCCAGTCAAAATACAACCAAGAGTTTTATTCACGAAAGACCTATTTTCTGACCAGGAATTCACATAATAGAACACTTTATTATGTACAATATTGATCACCTGATAAGCATAATCATAACTAGGCAAGAGAATATGAAAAACGGAAACATGGCGGCTTATGAATGAAAATCCAAGTTTGCATTGTGCTTAACAATATTGTTATTGATACCCTATCATCCGATCTGACATGATATTTCAAAAGCAGAATACTGTTTTACGAGAAATAATAAGTTTCAGAAAGGGTTTGGCAGAATTCATGAGCTTACATCTTTGCGGTCAACAAGGCCTGCTGTATTGCCACCTTGAGCCCAAATACTCTCCACCACACTAAGTACCCTTCTATTCACCCTCCATTTGGTGCTACCTAGCATATCCAGAGCCTGTAAACAATCCATTTCAGCATATTATCAAATTGATTCGGCTACATATTTGATAGAAGCATAAGCCAAGGAAAATTAAAACTTTGTGATATTTCATATAAATATTGCTAAAGTGTCTGGATGAATTCAAATTACCAATGAACTTCCATATGAAAAAAACCTAGTATACTTCCTCACATATGATTAAATGTGCCCATGCGCTAGAAGAACCATAAAAACCAAGGTAATTACATCATTCCAGGCACTTGTTGTATGTTAAATTGCCAGACAATTTTAAAACTCGGATCATATAATAATAATATTGAAATTTTAGGTCTAGATTGCAATAAAGCTTCAAATAATAAATGCATAATACCCACCCTAGGTTGACTAGTGGCATTAAGACATGTGAAGAAAGTAAAGGGACTTTGAGGTAATGAGTTCAAAAACCATGGTGAACGATATTAAAATCCTACAAATAAATATTGTAGGGTCAGACATTTGTCCCTTTAATCAAAGTGTCCATAAGTTGGTCCACACTCATGGATGTCAAGGAAAAAAAATGCAAAATATGAAAGGAGAAATGTATCTGATACCTAAAAGGAAAAAAAAAATTGGAAAATATTTGGTCCAGACACTGATTGGAGATTTCTGTTTGCTTCTTTCAACATCTCGTGGGTTTTTTGAGATTCAGCTAGAGGAAATTTAAGTCGGCTGCTTTGTGGTCCCATTTTATCTCCTAAAGCTAGGCTTTTATAGGCTAATTCTGTGAAAGCTATAATCTATGAACTATGGCTAAAAAAGGAACCAAAGGATCCTCAAAAACAAGCAAAGGGTTTGGTTGGATTGTTGGGATCTAGCCAAATTTAAGGCTTCTCAATGGTGCTCGTTCTCGACTTTATATAAGGATTACTTGATTACCACAATTTGTTCCTCTTGGGAGGTTTTTTTAAGGCTCTAATCGTTGTTTTATTTTATTTTACTGCATTTACTCATTTCATTCCTTCGGAAATTTGTATCCTTGAACACTTCTATTTCTTTTCATATATATAATTCTTTTTTTTTAATCGGGAGTCAGACCTTTACTCCCCATGCCCAGGGACACCCACGCCCAGACCCGGAAGACATCAAGGGTTTTTGGTATTAAGCTCACCAGAAGGTTTGAACTTGACATCTAAGTCGGTATGATCAAGAGACATCATGTTTGTTTCTCGTTAAAATAAAAATTAATTAATTAATTAAAAAACAAGGGAGGACCTCAGATGTGCAATATGCTTAAAATTTCAAGTTCGTAAAAAAGGGAATTCAAGCTTTCCAAACCTCAAATACTTTCTGCATCTGTTTCCCAGAAATGTTCTTCATGGCATCTTGTTGTCTACTTGATCCATGAGTACGCATGACATACGAAGGTAAGAATAAGTGTCCACCTTTATCATACCTGCAAGTATTTCCATTACATATTTATGGTTGGTAGCAAAATATATAAGATATGAAATATGATGCAGCCTACAGTTGCCTTTGAGCACTCCAGGATCACTTATTATCCAGATTCAAAAAATCTTATGATGCAGTAACCACGACAGGTACCCTAAAGAAATATACAATATAAAGGGCATTCAATCTGCTTCATACCCTTTCCATTTTTTAGGAGGAACCAACATAGGGATGTAAGGAATTAACACATGCTTAGCCTGCATGGAATTAAAAGACATAAAGAAACAGTTTAGAAGAGAAAATTTAGAGAGCCGAAAAAGTTCTATTTAATACACAAACTCATACAGTCCTATAAATAGAGCAGCTGCACCAGCACTCACTGCTGGTTTGCAGTACTCTGAGAATGGAACCACCTGGAAGTTTTATCAACATAAAGAAGAGTTTGCTACGTAGAGGGGAATTCTTGATGCAAAAGAAGCAACAATACCACTTCAAATGATTGCACAAATGTGACATTATAATCAATTGTCAGCTCTGATGTGGTCAAGGTCACTTCTTTACTGCCTAAGTCGTATATTTGATGCACACATTCTTTCACTTCCATAGCTGTTAAGCCATAGCTAGTGTATATTTTAGTTGACTGTTCATTGACCATTGATAGCACTTTGGTAATTAACCGACAATTTAGTAAGTGAAGAAATGATAATTGTCAGATTTTATAAAAAAAACAAATGAAGAAATTGACTTCGTCAAGCTGCAAGTCTGCAATTATGTATAAAGCAAAATATGGTAATTGTTTAAGAATATCTGTGTCCCTTTTTTCTTTTAATTTTCTAAGCTTAATATTTCTACGTAGCTACAAAGCAAATCATAACAAGATTCAAAGTAAATCTGCTATTATAAGTTAGAAAAAGGAGAGATTAAATATAAAAAATATAAAACTAAATTAAATTATAAAACACTTACAGTTCTGTCAAGCCCAGCAAGCACTATGGGATCGCATTCAATAACTCCATAAGTCTTTACAATTTTCTGCCTACAACCACCAAAGAATGCAGAAGCATGATAAGCCGTT